TCTAAGGTGGACATTGTGTTCCACACTGGCACACTCACTATGTAACGATCAGCATCCTGTACAAGCATACGGTATGGAGTTAATAGGTCAATAATGGTTCAATGTCATACAAGACAAACACACAAAAGTACTTTTTTGGAATGTGTTTCCTTTTGCTTAAAGGTCCAATGCAGCCATTTTATCTCAATATGAAATAATTTCTGGGTAACAATTAAGTACCTTACTGTGATTGTTTTCAATTAAAATCATCAAATATAAACAAAAATACTTTCTTAGCAAAGAGCAGTTTCTCAAGCAAACATTTTTCTAGGACTGCCTGGGGGTGGTCTGAGAGGGGAGAGAAAAACTGAAAACTAGCTGTTTGGAATTCCCTTATTGGTCTATTAACTAATGAGGGCAGGGCAAAACTCCATCCCACCAAAACAGGCAGAAATTCCCAGGCAGTTTTTTCAAACAGCTCTTACACTAAAAGGGCATTATCATCCTTTTCACAACTTTACAGTATTATTCCAACCTCATAGTGTGGAAATATAATTTAACACAAGAAAATCATGTTTTGACTGCAATGGGCCTTTAAGTCCCTTTTAAGTTCTCTGTTCAATGCCACTTCTCAGCATGTGGAAGTTGTGTGTACATCAACTCCAATATGACCTAATACTGGAAAACAGGATCAGAAAACGTGTCAATTTATTCCAGATGGTACACCAGGAATTAGCCACTACCTCATGACCTAGTATTCCTTCTCTCAATCAAACTCACAGAAAGAGTGACACCTCCTGGTTTAGAGCAGTACTGCCACATAACAGATATAATGTAACATTGGGCCCATGAAAACTGTCAAATACATCTGTTTTCAGTTAAAATAATATACATTTGACATTAAAACACAAATAAAATGATACAAGATTAAATTAATAATAGGGCAATTTTTAAGATAAAAAATTAATACATACTGGGGGAAAATGAGTCTGACCCGTTTGTGCTACTAGGGGACAGAGAAGTAAGTTATGACAGGAAGTTCCAAATGCCTAGTCTTGGATAAGAAGACACGCACGACTGAAAACGTAAAGCCCTGAAACAGGAGACTGTTGACAAACATGAGCAGCACAGAGGGAGCAAGGCAGCTGACTGGTATTATTGGAGATTCAAGCGAGAGCATCGTGTCGACAGACAAAGACCTTTTACTGCACCTCAGTAGTCCACAGTGGCCTCCTCCTCCTCCTGTCTCCTTCATCTGCACTGACCTGAGATACCAGAGGACCTCTTGTCACCTGTCCAGTGTAGGAATCAGATCAGACACACTGCTTTGCTTTTACCTTCCCTGTGTTTTTCAGATCAGATGAAATGAAGGAAAGGGGACAAGGAGATAGGAAGCCACTTGAGACTATTGAGGCATGCTGGAGCATTTCCCCCCCCTGCCTCCGTCGATCTCGCTCTCTTTCATAAAGCTGCTATGTAACATTATCCCATGGTTCTAGTTACCCCAACATCACACAAAGATTGACATCCAGTCCCCAAATCCGAAGGGGGGCTATATCTAACCCCCTTTGCTAAATTAGCAGTGATTCCAGATGCAAATGTGAGAGCGTGAGTAAGACCTTACTGGTTGGGGCAGGAAAAACCCAGATTCTGAAATTCATATAGAGTGAAGCACAAAGTCAAATAATACTGACACTGAGTTATCAGAACCCAAGGTGAGACATACGCAAGTAAAACCACAAGTAACAGATTGAACTGTTAAGCTTGCACATATTCACACCCTGTTTGCCATTTTGCTAATAGAAAAGGAAAATGTGCCACTTTGCGTGGCCTATATCCACTTGGAATTAGACCATCTTCTGTATACCCAGTGTTCTCAATGCTTACGGCGATTCCAATCAACCCCCTCCCACTCCCAACCCAGCCACATTGCTTAAGCTTTTTAAGCAATTTTAAATATATGTAAAGAATATATACAAAACAAGCATATCATCACTGTACAAATGAACTTGAACCCCAACCTGAGTCTTTCCATCACACAAGGGGAGCAGTCGAGCAAAAAGGGGAAGCGGACATTTTCTTTTGTTCAGTTAGTAGAAATCAAGAGAGATCATGCCATACAGCAGAAGCACTGTCTGTCACCAGTAGGCTAAACCAGTATTTGAGGAGTCTCTGTCATCATATCAGTTTCTTTTGTCCAATTCTGTTTCCCATATCCAGTTGATTTATTATTGAACCAGAAGCGTTAAGTCAGTAGGGGCTGTATTTCCTGGTTAGTTATTTTACAAGTGATAAGACAGAAAGAAGCGCATAGAAGACAAGCAACCTTCTTCACAGATTGATCAGTTGGGTAGTCAACTAGTTGAATGTGGTTCGATGCAACAAGGACTCCAGGTATTGTTGACGCGGCTCGAAGCAAATGACAGACATTAGTTGAAAACACACATTTCTTCTTCAATTTTCCCTTGCAGGTGTCTTTTAAACAACCCCCCCCCCCACCCCTTCAAACTGCTGCCCCTAAAGTCTTTCTTTCTCCATTATTTTTCTTCTTCTTTTGTCATTCTTACTATCCGTCAGGGAAAACGTGGATTCGAAAAAGGATGGCCCCAGTGTGAAGGCATTGTTCCTCCTTTCCCTCTCTCTGCCAGAGGTTTAGGAGGGATCAGATGTCTTCAGAGCATCCACCTTGGTCTCCAGGTCTGTGATCTGAGGAGAGGACAGAGAGGAGGGGGCTTATATTACACACAAAATGTCAAGGCAGAATGATCATAACTCAGTAGCATCCTCTTGCTATGCGTCTTGATTAACCACAGCAAAATGTCTTACATCATTATTGAGAATGTCCTAAAATATTTCCTCATACAGTAGAACCTAAATATACAACACCTTATCCTGGAGGTTGTCTGCCTCTTCCTTATGAGTGGCCTCTGTCTCCTCTTGGGCTCTGCGCTGAGCCGTCTCCTTCTTCAGATACTCAATCTCCCTGAGACACACAGCGTGGTTAGGCTGAATCCTGCCCATCCATCCTCCTACAAATCCCAGAATCACCCATTCCTCTACATTCCACAAACCCCAGAATCCCGATTCATCCTTCCTCCTACAAACCCCATAATACTCCATTCCTCTTCCTCCTACAAACCCCAGAATCCTCCATTCCTCTTCCTCCTACAATCCCCAGAACCTCCCATTCCGCTCTTCCTCCTACAATCCCCAGAACCTCCCATTCCGCTCTTCCTCCAACTCCTGAATCCTCCATTCCTCTCTTCCTTCTACAAACCCCAGAACCCCCCATTCCTCTTCCTCCTACAAACCCCCATTCCTTTCATCCTCCGTGCTGAGGGATTAGTGCTTTTTTGAGGTCGGTTCGGTTTCGGTTTCGATTATACAAAACATTATTACGGTTTTCGATTTTGATCCAAAACCAAAAATAGTGAACATTCAATTGCCAAAACATTGAAAACATTCCATTGTCTCTGTCTGGTCCACATTGGGTAGACATCAATAGAAAAATAGGACATTACTATGAAATAATACAATATTTCAGTTGTGTTTATTATTTAGTTTTTATTTGATGACTTCATTATTTTTCATTCAGTCATCATCTCATCTCTGCTCAGGCAATAGCAGCCAGCCAGACAACCATCTAACGTTATCTCTGTGCTCCCCATACTGTACTGTCTGACAAACCTAGTAGCTGTAGCTGCCTAGTAGCTGGCTAAGTATGCTGCAGAGCTGTCTGACAAATCATTTTACTAGTTCCCTTTCAGTCAGTCAACTTCGGTACAATATACTATGGGGAGTCGCACTCTCGTGACTTCAGTTGAAGGATCTACAATCCCGCTTGACAAGGCCAATGAAATCCGCGCCTCGCTGGAAGCCCTGCCTTCCATAGGTGATAAGTGTGAGGGAAACGAGGTACAACATACCTTCGGTTGAAGGATCTACAATCATGCCTGACGAGGCCAATGAACTTGTGGGCCATCGTCGTCTCTGGCGTTTTCTTAGCCATCTTACTCATTGCACCAGCAAATTGAAGAATAACTCATTGTTTGTGATTAGAAAACTTATGAGAACAAATACAACCTTCAGCACACAACATCCAGAGGATTAGCATGCTTTACCACTATGGGACAGTTTAGTTGGTGCAACGTAAGACAGTCTCATTTTCGAATTGTTTGTTTTAGTAGCGTGAATCATTCCAATTCATACTGAGCTGAATAATTGAAGGAATGAATCTGAGCCTCACCATTATCACCTGTGGAAGGCGGGGCTTCCAGCGAGACGCGGATTTCATTTGCATCGTCAGGCATGACTGTAGATCCTTCAACCGAAGGATCTACAACTCTCCATAGTATGTTGTACCTCGTTTGCCACTTTCAGGGAATAGTAGTTATAGTCATAATGCTACGTTCGTCAAAGTAGGCAAGTCATCCTTTCAAGACTGCTTATTACCAAATACTACAACTATCAAATCAGGTAGCGCTACCTCACGAACTGTCTCTATCCACCTTGTCGTTGTGTTGTGTACATTCCTCTCTCGTGTATGTCAGTCTCTGTCCGAGCCGGAAAGAACATGCGCAATTGATTATAGTCATTGTAGTTAATTACCACGTTTCTGCGGTGAACTAATTTGCTTAATGAAAACTACAACTCCCTTCAGCCCAGCATCTCACATAGTTCTTGACTTAATTTCTCTCATGAATTATTTGATTTCTCGCTAGAGAAACGGCACGTTGAGCTAAAAAAAAAAAAATGGAATTTAAGTAATTGAACCGACGTAGGTTGTTAAATAACAAAAAACCCGCAATTTCGGTTAATCGCTCAACACTACCTCATACAAACCCCAGAATCCTCTATTCCTCCTACAAACTCCAGAATCTTCCATTCCTCTTCCTCCTATAAACCCCATAACCCCCATTCCTCTTCCTCCTACAAACTCCAGAATCTTCCAATCCTCTTCCTCTTATAACCCCCATTCCTCTCCCTCCTACAAACCCCAGAATCCCCCTTATTTATCAGCCTTACTTCTGCTGGTATTCCTTGATGAGGCGCTTGGCCTTGCTGTACTTGCGCTCCAGGGTCTGGTACTGGGCCTGTGTCTCCTTCAGGTGTTCGTCCACCGCCTGACACAGACTCTGGGCCTCCATCCAGTAGCCCTCCAGCTTCTCCATGCGTTCCTTGTTCTCCCGAACGCTCTGTTCCAGCTGGGCACGCTCCATGCGCCAGCGCAGCTTGTCCTGCTCTGCATGCGCCAGCTAGATGAGGGGAGAAAGTGTCAAGTTTACTCCTGTATACTTCTAGTTTACTCCTGGACTGTGTGTTTATGTCCAGGGTTAAGGTGGGTCTGTGAAACCAGTCCTATGTTTGTTGGTTAATTGATTTTGGAGCAGGTCTACCTTTCTCTTCAGCTGTTGAATCTCAGCCTGGGTGACGGCATGCTTTATCTGAAGCTATAGAGGGAGAGAGAGAGGTAAAAAAATGGACACCATGGCTCATCTCATACACTCGCTCAACAAGAAGTTGAATTGAATATCCATTTTGAGATAAACATTTGCCTTTGGCATCAAGCCTCCCTGCTCACCTCTTTGAACTTGTGGGCCAGTTTCTCAGGGTCCATCTCCATGGGGGAGAGCATGTCCTCATTCTCCGCCAGGTCAAACACCTCTATGGCGTTGGGGAACATGGGGCTCATCTCCTCCTCCTCGTCCGTGGCATACTCACCTGTCTGGAGGACATTCAGAAGATTTTCACAATATATTCAGAGAGTGTATATAGACAAATTCCTGTCATGTTCCTGTCTTGTTGTGAACCACCAATGTCACACAGTAACCATCCCTGCCTATGTAACTACCATGTGAAGTAAATACATGGTTTCACCAAAGTGGAACCAACGTTTTTTGGGGGTCCTCGCAGGATAGGCCTACATTTCTATTTCTCAATCTTTTCCCTCTACCCTAAAATGGCCACTAGATGGTGAAGTTGAGCTTAGTGGAAAAAGCCATCCAGGAGTAGAACGCCAGTGGGCCAGAAATGACACCCTAGAATTGGGCAACCACCATTTTGTGTTTACCAGGGAAGCCTGTCAAAAGGCAAAGCTTGTCAGGGGACTCCGTGGCTGCATTGATGTGAATCTTTGTTGACAAATAGTCTACATACAAATGTGTCTATAATCAATTGTTCTGTTGATTGGTGCAATAAATCCCACTCTACTGTACTGTCTATATGGACCTGGTGAGGTCAATAACAAAACACACACACAAACCTCTGTTCGATAAAAGGAAATTCCCCCTTCCTTCACACACAACACACTGAACTCCAACACACTCACTCCTAACACCTCATGCACACACAACACACAGACAGACAGACAGCCATTCCAAATCTTCCTTTAACAACAGCCACCTGGGACAAGCCCCAACAAAGCTCTCCTAACCTTGTCACACCAATGAGTAACTCTCTGAGGGAATGCCACACACACACACACATCCCCCCCACCATCAACCCTGGTCTGTCTGCCCGTCTGAACCCTCCCAGTTGGACCAAGCATCAAAGCCCTGAACGCGCCTGTCACAACAACACTGTCTGATGTGTCAACGCTTCAAACGTGCTGAAAATTCAAACACTGTTTGAATGTTGCATAGCCAACCAGAGTTGGGGAGAAACGAACAAAGCACAGAGACTAAGGGATGAGCTGGAGTCACATAGGACAATGCCATCAAACGATGCCTACCCATAAAAACAAGGCCAAATAACAAGAACTATTCATTTTTTAAACGTATTACAAAGGATGTGTATGTTACTGGTAATGCATCTTTAGCAGGAAATTACATTGATTCAGGCTTAGATCTGTTGGGAGGGGGGCATGTTCTGATGGGGAGACACAGTGTGATGGAATACCAGACCTGGGTCATGGCATCTGGCCCACACTTGTCTGTCTTTCACACCCAAGCCCAGACATATATTGAACGTGATTGAATTTAACAAGGAGACGGATTCAATTATTCAAGCATTTCCTCTCCATGAAAGAGACTGAGGGGAGATAAAGAACTGAGAAAATTGCTGGGCAGGGTTTAATTCCACAACACTTTCCCGTACCGTCTCTGTCCTTATTCAGCCCCTTTCAAAGATCTGAGATGACTGGGCATCTGGTGCACCTATGTTCCGTCATATTGCTTACACCTATCCAGTCCAGTTAGATCAGTGAAGGGGAGGTGAACAGGGAGTGTTCTTTCTAGAATTATATAGTTGTATTATTCCATTGTGAAGGGAGCGTGATGGAAACATCTGTTAGCGGTGGGGAGGAAGTGTCAAACGCTTCATTAGCACCATCTTATTTTGTCATATTATTGATTGATGGAATGAATGAAGATGTTTTGGATGGGCTGAACTAATATTTTTCATGGTGTGGTGTGTGCGTTTGACCAGGGCCCTATGGTATCTGGCCAGAAGTAGTGCACTATAAAGGGAATTGGGTGCCATTTGGGACGCAGACATTGTGAGCCCCTCACCTCCTCGTCCTCCTCCATGTACTGGCTGTAGCGCTGCTCCATCATCTCTTTCTGCCAGCGCTCCTGCTCCAGGGTCTGCTGGATCAGCTGGGCCACCTCACTCTGCTCACCTGGCTTCTCTCGGCCAATCATGAACCTGCATGGGCAACAACAACCAATGGGGTGAGTGGAAAGGCATGTCTGTCAAGGAGTAGCCAATGGGAAACGTAGGGTAGGATTTAGTGGGTAGTAAGGTAAACCTAGGGTAGGATAGTTTAGGTCTAGTGGTTGCAACTTCAGAAGATACACCGTAGATAGATATGCTATAATCACAGTAGGGCCATACTGTAGAATTCAAATAACTCATCAGTTACATTTGCCAAGAAAATAGCCCCCACAGTTTACAATCAAGTGCAAGCCAGGGCAGCAACTTTTGATGGGAAATTAAAATTACAGCTTGTGCCTGGAAGGAACATGACTCTCACTGTACATGGACGGATGAGTTGACATCACTAATGAGAATCAAGGAAAATGTGTAACCAGTAGAAAATGTGATAAGATTGCTCTGAGGGAGAAAGACAATTCAGGGAATAAGTGTGGCATGCTATCAGGATAGAAGGTTATGGCTGTGTCTTCAATTGGCACCCTATTCCCTATATAGTGCACAACTTTTGCCCAGAGCGCTATATAGGGAATAGGGTGCCATTTGAGACACACCTCTTTGTATGTATCACAGAGAATAACAATAAAATAAACAAATGTCAGTCCTGGGGACCAGAAAGCATGAGAGGACATGCATGTTGTTTTTTAGAATGTGTGACTGAAGCATCTACAGAGCCATTTCAACTGTCTGACAGAGTTATCCTGTTGCAGATGGGACCCTTAAGACCGCGACACCAGTTCTGGCTGTCACATGTTGTCCAATGGAATGATCGAGCGGAAAGACCTCAACTGGACGGTTGCCTGGAGATAATTTTTCACACCCAAGCATGTGTGCAAAGCAGCCAGATGCACATTGACACGTAAGACAAAGAAAAACATGTGGCTGTAGATAATACCACGTTTTACTAAAAGGGATTCTTTCAACAGAATATCATATTCCTTGATGTTTAGTGCACTAGACAATATGATGAAAACAATCATTTCTAAATCTATTATAACGTCATATATTTTTGTACACCTAATATGGTTTACTGCAGAACAAAACGGCATTGCTCACTCCGTCTACATCATAAAAATCCCCTACGTGAGATTTGAACTAACAACCTTCTGGTCGCCAATCTGTCTCCCTGCCTGAGACTAGACTACCACACATGCTCGATGAGACCCCAGAGAGCGGTAACTACATAATTCAACACGGCCGCCGGCACCACTGTGGCATTCAGTGTGAGCGGGGGTTCCGTGATGATGATGTGAGTGTGTGAGGGTTAAGAACCCACTAGAGTGCCCCTTTCTTGCCTGAGGAGAAATAACTCAGTGGCGGTCAAAAGGGCGGAAGAAATGGTGACTAGGAATCTAACCACCATGTGGAAAAGCCAAGCTGTGCACGGAAAAAGATGTCAAGCAAATATGACACCTAACCTCTCCAGCATTTTCAAAACAAACCATGCCATCTATTTTCTGTGACTATGCTGAAGCATATTCGCCAAAGAGACGGCGCTTCTAATTTTGGACCAATCAAAATATCACCACCTGTCAGTGCACCTAGTCTGCAGCCTGTGAGATCGACGGATGTGCTAATCAGTGAATATTCACAAGCTCAGAGACACGCTCCATCCAGCCTTCAGGACATGAGGCAAAGTGGAAAACAACCAGGCCTTGTCTGGAACTGTCTGTACGTGTGAATGTGCAAGTATCCCCCTGCCACCATCTGTACAAACCCATCCGACCTTGGATGAGGTAAAACACCAGCATTCTCCACAGAGATTGTCTAAATCTATTTCTTAGGGGGGAGGGGGGGTGGGGGGGGTGGGGGACTTAACAGTAGGTGGCAAATTCACTTTGAACAAAGGTGCTTCCACAAGGGGAGACAAGAGTCCAATTTGGTAGGTGATTACATTTTTGTGGCATCCCTCCCTCCCTCTCTCCTTTGGTTACAGTCCATAGTGTTAGACAGCAACCTGAGCTTGGTCCGAAAATCAGGCGGGACCAGGCTGTTTTATAAATAGCGTCGCCACTCCTTCACTGACACCGGGCTCGCCGCTATCTCCCTGGGATCCAGGCTCATGTATTAATCAGCCTCTCCAATCTCTGGGTGGCTGTGATGTGAAAACAGGGAGAGACGTCTCGCCTAGCTACACTACAGTCAAACTGCCCCGACAATTAACACAAGGACCCCCACAGGCAGTTAATAATGCAGGAGAGAGGGATGAGAGCGGAGGGATGAGAGCGGAGGGATGAGAGCGGAGGGATGAGGGGATGAAGGGATTAGAGGTGGTGAATGGGGAGAGAGGGATTCCAATTGTGATCTGGTCTGAAGGGAGGTAGAGTTATGGTACTTGTGTTTGGTTCCCTATCACCAGTCTTCGTACAGTTCTGTATCTAGACCCCCTTCCCTTCAATCCCATGCTTAGTTTCTCATAAAAAGATTTTGTCAGGGTACTGTTAAACCATATTTGACCAGAGTGCAGTGAACACACAATAGATATTGTACCAATAGCTTGATGTTGAAACTAAGTGTTTATTGACAGCTATTGAGTAAGGGTTCTTACTTGACAGTGCCGGTGGTGTTCCTGAGGACGGAGGCAGCAAAGGCCTGGGTCACGCCCACCAGACTGGTCCCGTCCACCTCCACGATCAGGTCATTCACCTGGATCCTGCAGGGGAGGGAGGAAGAGAGTGATAGTGAACAAGGGGCATAGAGGGAAAAACACTTTTGGGATACACTGCTGAAACACAGATTGTTCAGAACCTTTCATCTCGGTGTGCAGCTCCTCCATCAGTGACCGTCTTGACGAAGATGCCCAGTTTCTCCAGACCCATGTCCGCCCCGGCACCCATGCCGATGATGCTGATCCCCAGACCGTCCCCATCTGTGGAGAAGAGGGGATAGGATATGGGGAAATTGTATTTGATCAAATGCTACAATAACCTCATAAATATGAGAATGGCTTACCAAAAAAAGCTTCCAAAAGTACTAATTCGAGGTAACAAGGAGTTGGAGCACTAAACAAAAAAAGGCAGAGATTTATTTATTTTTGCTCACTTTAATCCATTGTACAGGATCCATTGTTGTGTCTCAATGGGCCATTAGGCTATAAATAGGAGCTAAGTGCAATGGCCAGGCCACTCTAAGGAAGACGTCTGCTTGACATCGAAACGTCAGTCACCCGTTCGCATTCTGTACAATGAATTAAAGTGCCAAAAATAAATCAAATCTCTGACTTTTTTTGTTGAGTGCTCCAACTCCTTTTTACCTCGAATTAGTCCTTTTGGAAGTTTTTCTTGGTAAGCTATTCTCATGTCACTGTTATTAAGTACCCCTCCTTTCCTTTGTTTGCTAAAGCGTGAAGGCCCACCTGAACTCTAACCTCATAAATATGTTACCTTCCAAATGTAAGGAAATAAATTGATTAAAATGGAGACCTTGGCTTAAAGATACAGTGCATTCTGAAAATATTCAGACCCCTTCCATTTTTCCACATTTTGTTACGTTACAGCCTTATTCTAAAATGGATTCAATTGTTTTTCCCCCCTCCTCAATCTACACACAATGCCGCATAATGAACATTTTCTTGCAAATTTATTAAAAATAAACAACTAAAATATCACATTTACATAAGTATTCAGACCCTTTTATTCAGTACTTTGTTGAAGCACCTTTGGCAGCGATTACAGCCTTGAGTCTTCTTGGGTATAACGCTACAAGCTTGGCACACCTGTATTTGGGGAGTTTCTCGCTAAAGCTACTACGCCACTTTGTATACGTAGGCATTATCCGTATTAGAACCCAATTAGCCACTGCTAATCTAGTGTAATATAAATCCAATAAGGAGAAATGGGCAACTCTGGATTCATTAGTGACCATTAAGGACTACCCAAGGGGTTAGCTCGTCATGTAAATACAGTGAGGGAAAAAAGTATTTGATCCCCTGCTGATTTTGTACGTTTGCCCACTGACAAAGACATGATCACTCTATAATTTTAATGGTAGGTTTATTTGAACAGTGAGAGACAAAATAACAACAAAACAATCCAGAAAAACGCATGTCAAAAATGTTATAAATTGATTTGCATTTTAATGAGGGAAATAAGTATTTGACCCCTCTGCAAAACATGACTTAGTACTTGGTTGCAAAACCCTTGTTGGCAATCACAGAGGTCAGACGTTTCTTGTAGCTGGCCACCAGGTTTGCACACATCTCAGGAGGGATTTTGTCCCACTCCTCTTTGCAGATTTTCTCCAAGTCATTAAGGTTTCGAGGCTGATGTTTGGCAACTCGAACCTTCAGCTCCCTCCACAGATTTTCTATGGGATTAAGGTCTGGAGACTGGCTAGGCCACTCCAGGACCTTAATGTACTTCTTCTTGAGCCACTCCTTTGTTGCCTTGGCCGTGTGTTTTGGGTCATTGTCATGCTGGAATACCCATCCACGACCCAATTTCAATGCCCTGGCTGAGGGAAGGAGGTTCTCACCCAAGAATTGACGGTACATGGCCCCGTCCATCGTCCCTTTGATGCGGTGAAGTTGTCCTGTCCCCTTAGCAGAAAAACACCCCCAAAGCATAATGTTTCCACCTCCATGTTTGACGTTGTGGATGGTGTTCTTGGGGTCATAGGCAGCATTCCTCCTCCTCCAAACACGGCGAGTTGAGTTGATGCCAAAGAGCTCAATTTTGGTCTCATCTGACCACAACACTTTCACCCAGTTCTCCTCTGAATCATTCAGATGTTCATTGGCAAACTTCAGACGACCCTGTATATGTGCTTTCTTGAGCAGGGGGACCTTGTGGGCACTGCAGGATTTCAGTCCTTCACGGAGTAGTGTGTTACCAATTGTTTTCTTTGTGACTATGGTCCCAGCTGCCTTGAGATCATTGACAAGATCCTCCCGTGTATTTCTGGGCTGATTCCTCACCGTTTTCATGATCATTGCAACTCCACGAGGTGAGATCTTGCATGGGGCCCCAGGCCAAGGGAGATTGACAGTTATTTTGTGTTTCTTCCATTTGCGAATAATCGCACCAACTGTTGTCACCTTCTCACCAAGCTGCTTGGCGATGGTCTTGTAGCCCATTACAGCCTTGTGTAGGTCTACAATCTTGTCCCTGACATCCTTGGAGAGCTCTTTGGTCTTGTCCATGGTGGAGAGTTTGGAATCTGATTGATTGATTGCTTCTGTGGACAGGTGTCTTTTTATACAGGTAACAAGCTGAGATTAGGAGCACTCCCTTTAAGAGTGTGCTCCTAATCTCAGCTCGTTACCTGTATAAAAGACACCTGGGAGCCAGAAACATTTCTGATTGAGAGGAGGTCAAATACTTATTTCCCTCATTAAAATGCAAAACAATTAATAACATTTTTGACATGCGTTTTTCTAGATTTTTTTGTTGTTATTCTGTTTCTCACTGTTCAAATAAACCTACCATTAAAATTATAGACTGCTCATTTCTTTGTCAGTGGGCAAACGTACAAAATCAGCAGGGGATCAAATACTTTTTTCCCCTCACTGTATATGTGGCTAGCAGATTTGTGAGGAAAAGGGTAAAGCTTACTTAAAGACTTCCACTAGCTAGTTGAAGCAATTTTGTGATTTAATGGGAACAACAGACTTCACTGAAAATGTTTAGCTACTAGTTGTAACTTTAATAGTTACAGTTAAATGTTTACAGTTAATTCTCTCTCTTTATGTTGTATTGGTTTATGCTATTGAACTCCAAAGCGACAGTCATGTGTGCATACATTTTACGTAAAGTTGGCCCCAGTGGGAATCGAATCCACGGCCCTTTGTGTTGCAAGCACCATGCTCTAGCGACTGAGCCATGCAGGGCTAACAATATACTGTGAGGTTCTGTAATGTTCTAGAAGATTCCACCAGGTTTTACCTTTCTCCAATTCCACAGGGAAGAGGTCCAGTCTCTCCACCCTCTTCTCCAGCTCGTACTCAGCCGACGCCGCCATGGGGTCCACGTCATCGTTACGCCGGTCGTAGTCCTCATTGGAGTACGTGGTGAACACCTGCCAAGAGAAGACAAAAGGTCATAGGTCAGTTCGACACTCACCAACACACAATATTTACACCACAACAGGTTTCCCATAGAGAAGACGTCCTCTAGAACTGTGGGGTGCGCCCCTGAGGGGTCGGTCCTTTTTAAAAGGAACTCAGTCCGGCTTTAAACTTACTCTTGAAAGTTGTAATAGTAGAATGCACAAGGTGCAATTTCGAAATTGGGTAGTGCATCATCAGTTCCTCTGGTCATGTCAGTCATTGCATACCTTAGAGAGCTATTTATAACTTGTCTGCTAACGTGTTGTAATTTATGTTTTTTAGCCCATAGATTTTGTTGTAATTTTTTGTCACTCAAATATCACATGAATACACATTAGACATGGCAAAATGTATAGAATTGCAAGAAAATTATTTTTAAAACTGCAACATTTTCTTTGTACCTCTTGACAAAATGTGTACAATTGCAGGAAATAAGCTTTAACCCTGCAAAATTCTCTCCACCAACAAGAGGGGTGTAAACAGTCATGAACAGTGTGTCATGAACAGTGCTTGTGCCCATAGAAATAGACGTGGCACGCGTGCAGGGTAGGCACGGGGATGTTCCCCAATGCTGGAAGGGGGCCCCCCACCCGAGTGAAAAGGTTTGGGAACCCCTGCTCTAGAAAATTATCTAAGGTCAGTTTAGCATTTTCACCACTAATGGTTAAGGATAAGACTATGGGAAGAGTAAGCTGATCCTAGATCTGTGCCTACAGGCGTACAGACCTCTACCCGGAGCTAAAAGGAGAGCCAGGCAGGCAAGGCGCTAACAGGGCGGAAGGCGACGTCTCCAATAACCAGACAGACAGACAGACAGGGGTGGTGTTATATACGGCCCGCTGATACAGTGGGGAGAACAAGTATTTGATACACTGCCGATTTTGCAAGTTTTCCTACTTACAAAGCATGTAGAGGACTGTAATTTTTATCATAGGTACACTTCAACTGTGAGAGACGGAATCTAAAACAAAAATCAAGAAAATCACATTGTATGATTTTTAAGTAATTAATTTGCATTTTATTGCATGACATAAGTATTTGATACATCAGAAAAGCAGAACTTAATATTTGGTACAGAAACCTTTGTTTGCAATTACAGAGATCATACGTTTCCTGTAGGTCTTGACCAGGTTTGCACACACTGCAGCAGGGATTTTGGCCCACTCCTCCATACAGACCTTCTCCAGATCCTTCAGGTTTCGGGGCTGTCGCTGGGCAATACGGAATTTCAGCTCCCTCCAAAGATTTTCTATTGGGTTCAGGTCTGGAGACTGGCTAGGCCACTCCAGGACCTTGAGATGCTTCTTACGGAGCCACTCCTTAGTTGCCCTGGCTGTGTGTTTCGGGTCGTTGTCATGCTGGAAGACCCAGCCACGACCCATCTTCAATGCTCTTACTGAGGGAAGGAGGTTGTTGGCCAAGATCTCGCGATACATGGCCCCATCCATCCCCTCAATACGGTGCAGTCGTCCTGTCCCCTTTGCAGAAAAGCATCCCCAAAGAATGATGTTTCCACCTCAATGCTTCACTGTTGGGATGGTGTTCTTGGGGTTGTACTCATCCTTCTTCTTCCTCCAAACACGGCAAGTGGAGTTTTGACCAAAAAGCTCTATTTTTGTCTCATCAGACCACATGACCTTCTCCCATTCCTCCTCTGGATCATCCAGATGGTCATTGGCAAACTTCAGACGGGCCTGGACATGCGCTGGCTTGAGCAGGGGGACCTTGCGTGCGCTGCAGGATTTTAATCCATGATGGCATAGTGTGTTACTAATGGTTTTCTTTGAGACT